CCACATTGGAATCAAAGATCCTGAGTTAGAAGGGGCCTCAGAAACCATTATGTACAACCCCTTCATTTTACAGATGAGGAAACTGAGACCCAGGATGACTTAATGACATACCCTAGGATGTACAGATAATAAACATAAAGAGGTGAGATTTGAACCCAGATTCCTTGACTCCACAGCCAAGGTTCTTTCCACTATGCTACCTTGGCAACTTGGAAACCATGGGAGGTGATCTTCACCTAATGAAGCGAACAGATAGTGTTGAAACGTCAAGAAACACCTCTCAATGTGAAGGGTCCATTGGCCAGTGACATTCTTCAGTATTCTTGCCACACAGCAACTGGTAATACTGTGGCCTAGAGGAACAAGGCAGTTTTCCAAAGATGTCACTTACAGCCAGGGAGAAACTTAGGCAGCAGGAGGATCTGGCACAAGTCTTATTTACTCTTAAACATTGTGATCGAATGCCTTGAGGCCAATGTTCAAGGTCAAGATCAGAAACTCCTTTTAGGTCACTGGCATTTTCACAAATGATGGCAGCCTCCTCCCAGGAGAGAAATTTGTCAGGAATTTCCCTTGGAACCATCATGGTCTGTTCCATAATGGTCCCACCCCCATAATGGGAAAGGAACTGGAGGGAAAAGCCAGTGCACTAATTGGGGAATGACTACCAGAGGGTCAAGTCTGATCACTGTAGAAAGCAGATAAACAAATGATCAGCTTTTATGATGTCCTCATAATTTGTGAAAGGATAGGAACCTTGAAAATTCCAAAAGATTTTCATAAAGTGGAGAAAAACGAAGGGGAGAAATTATACCTGGAGGTGTCCAATCCATTAGAAGATAAGTTGGGAAAGCAGACCATTTCAGACTTCGCTTGTTGCCCTTGCTGGGAGGTTTTGAGAGTTATTGCCTTGCAATAATTACTGCAGAATCTAATCATTAATAAACCTTCAACTATGAGTATTCCCAGTTAAGAAAACAAAACCCAAACCATCTAGAAAACAACCCTTCCAGTGGATGCAAACCAGATGCCACCCCCTGTGTCAACAATGAAACCAGCCTGAGGAATCCTTTCTGAAGCTACAGCGAAGAGCAGTAAAATGTCATTTCGATTGACTGACTGAGTTTTGGTCACAGGCCTAGAATCAACAGATCTTCATAGAAGAACAAATGACAACCCATTTCAGCAATTGTGTGGGAGCAAGAAATGTAAGTGAGAAGAAGACAGGGAGTGAGGCTCCAGTTCAAAGCAGTGATGTATCTGAAACAGCTTTAGACAGCTCATGAAAACTGGTGAGATGAGAACCAAAGATCTACAGAGCTGTTGGGGCTAAGGAAGAGGCTAGGAATGCCCAACAGTAGCACTCTACCACATATACCTTCACATCACAGAGTGTATGGGAAATATGGTCAGAAGCCAGACAGGCTGGGGTGTAGGGAACTCTTTTGGCACAGTTCAGAAACCCCTGAAGCCTCTTGGGTCTCAAGTTGAATTTGAACCTCTTGAGATCCAAGCGCTCTGCTGGGGGCTGTCACAACACACAGCCCCAGGTCTGGAGGAGAGGGCTTATAAAAAAGATGCTGTTAAAAAGCTTCTTGGATATCTTCTCACTCTTACCAAATAGCATGTTGATGAGTTGAGTGTAAACAAATGAGAAACAGAAGGATCAGATTTTTTTTTTCTTACAAACACACACAAACTTAAGCATTAAGGGGAAAAAGTGGTTGACCAAATAGGCTTGGGATTTTGCTGAACCCAGAAAGGCTGGAAAGTAGTGGGAGATGTTTTTGCCAAACCCCAAATGCTGCTTGGTTAAGCCTTCCCTCCAACCAATTGGATAATTGCAATTTTACTCAGTGGATTTCTCTATTGTTCTTTCTTTTCTCCTTTTTATTTTTTTTGGAAAAATAAGGAAAACAAAATAATTAGCCATGTCTCAGGTCTCAGGGTAACTTTGCTGATATTCCTATAGTAAGTGACAGACCAATCCATGGTTTTAGAGCTGTCATGCTGTTTCTATGTGTACAGTAGCTTGCCGTCTATGTTAAATAACTCTTGTGGATGGTCAGGTTGAAGACTCAATTTATAGCCTTGTAAATTAACACAAGGAAATTCATTTTATCCTGTAACAGACAATTCTATTCATAATGCTTAATTAATCCCCTCAAGTCACTAATAGAATATTGATGACCTTTCTTTTTCAACCCAAGCTAAATATAAGTCTCCTGAGAGAAGGGTTAAAATGGAAATGCTGATGGAATTTTCTGGTATTTATTTATTCATTCATTCATTCAAGTATTTGTTAGGTCCCTACTATGTGCCAACCTTACTTGTTGACTTTGGGGATGCAGAGACAAAAACAAAGGCGTACTCCACCCTCAAGGAGCTTACACTGTATTGGATCACATGGTATTGAGATGCTGCATGAAAGAGCTTTCAGTTTGGAGAAATTAAAGCCTTCAGAGAACTCACAAATAAAACCCAAGAAGGTAACATCTGTTTGGCTGGCACTGTTTTTGCTTTTTATAAAAATGCAAAGGAGGAAAGAGGTGGACATTTGGAGAAATGTCTGAACTTGATTTAACTCTCAAACACTCACTTAACTCCCACTGAATAATTTCTCTAAATTTCATCCAATGAGATTTACCATGATTGCTCCCAGAAGAACAGATGAAAACAAAGAAGCTAATAGAGTCACTCTTCCTTTTAAGATAACTAGCAACTGCAACAGTTCTAGGATCCTCAGCTTCTCTATTTCCAAACTGGGTGTGTCCCTGGCCTTCACTAATTATGTTCAGGTTTTTCCAGTGGAATCTTATTGAGGGTCACCCCAAGCCACTTTGCCTGGATAATGGGGTTCAACATTCATTCAACAAGCATTTTTAGAAAGTGCCTGCAATATGCCAAGTACTGGGGAAATAAAATATGGAAAATCTTAATGAGCTTCCACTCTCCCGGGGTGGGGGTGGAGACTGCATGTACAAAGATAAGTAAATACAAAACGTGTGGAAAGCAACCTGGGGAAGACACTAACAATTGGAGAATCAGGAAAGGTCTCAAGTAGGAGGCAGCACCTGACCTTTTTGGAAAGGAGAGCTAAAGACTTCAAAGGATGGTGGTGAAGAAAAAGAGCATTCTAGGTATGGGGATAGAGGAGCCCTATGAAAAAGCATGAGATCAACCCAGAAGGTTTCAAATCCTGGGAACAAGATGCCCCTTCCAGGATAAGAGCATCACTTTTAATCTCCTCACCAGGCTAACTCAAGCTTTGAACCCATCTACCTTAGCTTCCTCTCCCTCTGACTGGAGGGCTGGAGAGTGGAGTTCCAAACCCCTCCCACTGCCTTCCTTTATATCCAGGGCCGAACCTCTATTCTCAATTCTTCCACTGCATTCACAGCCCCCTTTCCCAAACAAACAGGTGTCTGCTCCCACTTTCCTTGCTTCTTTTTTTGTATGTTGTCTCTCCCAATTAGATTGTAAGCTCCTTGAGGGCATGGGCTATCATTCTTTATTATTATTATCATATTATTATTATTTTATTATTAATTGTATCCTTAGTGCTTAGCACAGTACTTGGTGTACTGATGTTCAGTCTTGTCTGACTCTTTGTGACTCCCTATGTGACCATAACATATCAACACTACCCATGGGGTTTTCTTGGCAAAGATAACTGGAGGGTTTGCCTTTTCTTTGTCTAGTGGATTAAGGCACACAGGTTAAGTAACTTGCCCAGAGTCACATGGCTAGTAAGTACCTGAGGCTGGATTTGAACTAGGGTCTTCCTGACTCCAGGCCTAGCATTCTATCCACTGAGCCACCTAGCTGCCTTTGCTTGGTGCATAGTAGGCACTTAGTAAATGTTTATTGCATTGGATTGGATTGCCTTCCCTCTGAGACTATCCCCAATTCACCCCATACATACATACATACATACATACATACATACATACATACATATGTGTGTGTATGTATATATATATAGATAGATAGATATAGATGTAGATGTAGATGTAGATATAGATATAGATATAGATATAGATATAGATATAGATATAGATATAGATATAGATATAGATATAGATATAGATATAGATATATGTATGTACTTGTTTGTCCCTAGTTATTTGTGTATTGTCTTCCCCTTTAGAATGTGACCTCCTTGAGGGCAGGGGCTGTTTTTTGTTTCTCTTTGTATCTCCGATACTTAGCACGGTGCTTGCCGAGTAGCCGGCTCTTAATAAATGCTTGTTGACATACATGAAGGTCTTTCAGTTTTGCCTGCTCGCCCACGCTGAACTGTGTTTCTCTCCCAGCCTGGCATGATAGACCTTTCCAATCAACCATCCAGGTTGTCTTGGGCTGGAAATTTGTTTCACTCTGTCTTTTTGTGGGTTCTGCTGCTCTAATTTTGTTTAGAGCCATTTTTTACAGGTATTTGGAGGGGTTTGGGGGAGAGCTCAAGCAGGTCACTGCTTTTACTCTGCCATCTTGGCTCCGTTCCTCGACTTGAAGTTCTTTCTGGATCAAGGCAGCCCTCCCTCAGAGGACAGTGGGTATGAGGGCTAGAAGAAAGAAAAATAAAGAAATACGTAGAGTAGTAACCTGCTCTTTTATGGGAAGAGGGAAGGGAGTAGTATTGGCCTACTCATCTGGAAATTCTGCCTTTTGGCCTGGCCCTTTGTAGTGTACTCTGCTTGGCTCAACAGAAGCCAGCCTACCCTGCTCACACTCAATCACTGAGAGTACAGAAAATATCTTTGAGAGCTCCAGGATTCACAGTCCAGGCCCCTACATTGATTTTCTTCCTATCCTGTCCACTGTCACTGCTTTACCCCCAGTAGAAAATGTTTCAGCACTGAAGGCCCATTCATAGGAGAAGATTATATCAGCAAGGAAAACAAACAAACAGAACAGAAGACAACTCCATCCCTAAACAGCCTATTTTTTTTTTCCTCAGAAGGATCAATGAAGGAAAAAAAAAGTCTGAAATCCAATACCTTTATATTTGGTCACTACAGCTGCGTTGACACTATGAGGCTCTTGAAAGGTGACAGTGAGTGATGTGTTACTGGTTACCATGAGACAGACATTGGTTGGCACCTCGGGGGGTCCTGGGATGGAAGAGAAAACACAAGGACCACATCAGAGCAAATCCCATTCAAACAGTGTTCCCCCCTCTTCAAAGAGTGCCCTGAAATACACACCATAGAGGCTTTTGTCTCTTCTGACTGTTGGACATTCTCACTTAGAAGCCCAGTTAGTTGACCCGCTCAGACACCATTCAGTGCCATCATGGACTTAGTGAGCTGCATCCAGTGTGCCTCATGCTCAAAGCAAATAATAATGTCCATTTAAGGCTTGTAAAAGCGCTTTATAGATTTTATCTTTTTATTCCCACAACAGCCCTGAGAGACAGTTTCCCCCATTTGACAGATGAGGAAACTGAGGCAAGGTAAGTGACTTGTCCAGGGTCACACAGCTAGCAAGTTATCTAAGGCTGGGATTTGAAGTCATTTTGATTCCAGGAATAGCATCCTGCTTATGTTTGGTATAGCAGGGGTGGGGAACCTGCGGCCCAGAGGCCACATGTGGCCCTCTAGGTTCTGAAGTGCTGTCCTTTGACTGAATTCAAACTTTGCAGAACAAATCCTTTTATTAAGAGTCAATGTTGACATCACAGCCAAAGCCTAGAACTCTGGCTAACCTCTTTAGCCTGAAAGAATAATTAGCAAGTGAATGAATTGGGTTTCTGTTTACAATTAGATACCAAGATTAACTATTTAAGTAAAAGTGTCTGTATACTTAATGACAACTCTTGCTTTTCTGGTGTGTTTGAGTTTCATTTGAAGGATGGTTTTAGGGAAAGTTTCATGTGCTTTAGTGGGGGCAAAATACTTTACACAAACAAATAATTATCCTCAAGAATAGAAGTGGGGAAAAAAGAAAACAAAATTATAAATTTGAAAATTCTATTCTTTGTTTTCTCACATTTAGTGGAAGCCAAACTTCAGTCATAGCTAATTTTAACAAGTACAAAGTACAGTAGAAAATCGAAAACATAGATCCTGTGCTTTTACTGTAAGTCTCATAATGGAAGCAAAAGTCTTTTTTTTTTTTTTTGCTTTAAACTATGTACCCTCCCCTTCCCCCTCAGTTTTTTTAGGTCACAAGGCTAAACAGGTCAACAGGACCATTTTCTCGCGTTTCTAAAACTTATGGAGGGAGGAAGATGAAACAGAAGAGTACGTCTAGCCTTAGAGCCATTGGAGTCACACCTTTATGGACATGGGGCCTTATTAATAAGAAAATGGAGCAAGAGAGCTATCTTCCCCTCCCTCTGCCTCAGTTTCCTACTATCCTTGCTCTTAATGGGTTGTCCACTAAAGGGTAAAGAGACATTACTAGTTGTTTCAAAAAAAGATAGAGGCTGATCACATGTGGCAGTTGACTTTTACTCACTGGCATGTTCGAAGCCCGTTTTCATGCGTTTGTAGAGTCGGTATCTCCACTCCCAAGCTTTCAACTGTTTCTCTTTATCTGTACTATCCATACTGAATCCTTCATTCTCCACCTGGGCAGACAGCTCATTCACCCTCTGTTGTGCTTCTTGGACCAAGGTGTTGAGATGTGCTGACCTGCTTTCAAGGCTGATGACTGCAGGGAAAGAGATTCAGTTTAATAAGCATTTATTAAGAGCCAATTATGGGCAATGAACCCTGCCAGGTACTGGGGATACAAAGACAGAGGAGAGAAACAACCCTGCTTCCCACACCTCTAAGAAGCTGACATTATACTGGGAGGGTATAAATAGATAAGTAAATACACATTAATTTGAAAGGAGAGTATGTGTTAATAACCAAGGAGATCAGAAAAGGTAACTGATCTGTGTTGGCAAGGAAGCTGGAGATTTTAAGAGGAATTGGTGAGGAGGGAGGGCATTCCAGACATGGGACACAAATATGAAAAAAGAGAAAGAAAGAAAGAAAGAAAGAAAGAAAGAAAGAAAGAAAGAAAGAAAGAAAAGAAAGAAAGAAAGAAAGAAAGAAAGGAAAAAAGAAAGAAAGAAAAAAAGATAGGCCCTGCCTTCAAGGTGCTTACATTCTAATGGGAGAAGGCAATACACAAAAGGGAGCTCAGACTGGGGGCAAGGAAAATAAAGGTACCTATTGTGGGGGAAATCCCTGAACTTCGATGAGAAAAAAAGCAGTAATTGGTTTTCTTTGTAATCCTATGCATTTTAGTTTATATATTAAAAAATAAATCATTCTGAGAAGGGGTCCATAGGCCTCAGCAGCCTGGCCAAGGAATCCATGGCACAAAAAAGGCTCAAGAACCCTCGCTCTAAAGACAGCCGTTTGAATTCCCACCACCAAGCAGCTGAGATGACCAGTCCTAATTTAGATGGTAGCACCTTGGAAACTGGGGATAAAAGATAAGTGTGATGTCATGGAGGTTCCAGGGGAATTCAGAAGAAGATCAAGCAAATCATTTGAGACTTCAAGAGCCAGGTTCCTCAGTTGGGTCTTTCAGACTGAGTTCAACACCTTTTTTCAGCCTATGATGCCTGTGGCTCTCAAGGCCCAAACAAGATCTTCTCAAGTGAAAGAGGGCAATTCCATTCTTTCAATTATGGGGGTGGCCAGGGTGGTGAAATTTATGGAGATAACTCAAGTGGAAATCTCCATTCTTTCAATTATGGGGGTGGGCAGGGTGGTGAAATTTATGGAGATAACTCAAGTGGAAATCCGTTAAGTTGTATTTTGAAATGGAAATTAGGTGGTTATATATTCATATTCTCTGTGTTCATAGTCATGTTTGTATTAATTACAGGAAATGAATACTAATTTATGATTGCCCCTGCTCGCCATCAGACTAAATTTATTTACAGATGAGGTCAATGAAAAATTAGTTTAGTCTTTTTTCTTTTTCTTTCTCTTTTTTTCCCTTCTTTCTTTCTTTCTTTCTTTCTTTCTTTCTTTCTTTCTTTCTTTCTTTCTTTCTTTCTTTCTTTCTTTTTTTTTAAACTGCTGTTTAGAACACTCAGGACTGTGTTTTCCTGCAGATTTGTCATGGTTAATGAATGTTGCTCCAGCAGTCAATCACACACTCTGAATACTGTCACACTTTTTTTTTAAGCCTCAGTCATGAGCCGTGACAGAAAAATAAACAAATAAATATAAAGCTAAAAAACTCTTTCACTGAGCAGCTACACTATGTGAAGTCCCTGGGGAAGGCTAAAGGAGGCCAGAATAAATGATAATATAAGTGCTGTGGATGTAAGAAAGCAGTGATGGTGTATGCATACGGAGGGGCTGAAGGAAAAAAAAATACACACACACACACACACACACACACATACACACATACACACATACACACACGCGTGCCCGCACACACTCCGGTGGAAAAATTGGCAATATTAGTAGCCTCAAGGTGCAATTTCCTGGAACACAGAGATTGACAAGCCAGTCCTAAATGCTGTTAATTTAACTAACTTCAGATTAATGGTGGAGTCTGCTGTGACTGAAGTTCTCAAACACAGTCTCATTATAGCCTTGCTGGGAATGTCCTAAATATAGGCTTGGACAGTTTCAAACAAATCCGTATACATTTGTGTATTTTTAGACACGGGTTCGGCGTCAGAGTGCATGTCACTGGTTTCTGGTTGATGAATTGACCCAGTAACTGTACTCTCAGCCCCCTCTCAATCCCTACTCCCCCCTTCCCCAAATTGTATAGAAAAGGAGGGATTGTCCTTTGGCTAAGCCATTCAGTGAATTTTTTTTATTATGTGTGTGTGCATATGGTGGAATTACATGATTGTATACATACCTTGGGGGATGAACGTGTCATTTAATAAACGATTTTTAAAATGCCATGACACCACCTTAAATACATACATCATGTATGTGTGTATTTTACATACACACATTATATCTATATACATACATCTATATGTGTATATATACAAGTATATTCTCACTGAGATCAGATTTGAGAGGCAGTTTGTTATAGTGGATAGAAAGCTGGCCTTGGAGTCATGGGATCATAGATTTAAAGCTCTGAAGGGACCTCAAAGCCCATTCAGTCAGTTCAGTTTCCCTCCCTTAATTTATTTATTTAAAATTTGTTTTCTAGATGCACTTACATTTAGTTCCAGTTCATAGCTCTAGAGCTTTAAGACTCTGGAAGCCATCTACTCACATCATTTCATTTTACAGATGAGGAAACTGAGGCCCATGGAGGTAATATGACAGCCAAAGTCATGTAGGTAGTATCAAAGGTGGGATTTACACCTAGGCCCTCTAGTTCTAGAGAGGATGCTATTCCTACTGTTCCACATTGCCTCACTTAGTAAATGTGGGCAATCAGCTGGAACATTAGGAACTTCAGTCTCTTCATCAGCAAGACATATATAATTAATAATACGTCTATTACCTTCTTTACAGGGCTGCTCTCGTAGTCCTTTCTCGGGGTCTACTTTGTATCGTATCAACCTCATTTTGTAGATGAGGAAAACAATTTCCGGGAGAGTTAAGTGACTTAACCCAGCATCAGGCAGAAAGGAAGAAAACTAGCATTTGCTAAGTCCTTACTATGTGCCAGGCACTGTGCTAAACTTTGGGGATGTAAATAGGAATAAAAAAAAATAATCTAGTCCCTGCCCTCAAGGAGCTTATATTCTAATGGGGGAAGACAATATACAACAGGGAACTCAGAAATCGGACAAGGAGAATAAAGGTACCCATTGTAAGGGCATAGTTTGTGAAGTAGGGAACGTCAGCAGCAAGGCTGAGAAGTGAATGAAGGATGATCAACCTGGGCTTCTCCAAACAACAACAAATAAAAAGACAAAAAACCCCAAAAAACCCCACTAGTGTGTATGTAGAGTTTTAAGGTTTGCAAAATGCTTTACAAATATTATCTCATTTTATCTTTTTTTAAATTTTTAAAAAATTATTTTTAGGCAATTGGGGTTAAGTGACTTGCCCAGGGTCACACAGTTAGTAAGTGTCAAGTGTCTGAGCCCACATTTGAACTCAGGTCCTCCTGACTCCAGGGCCTGTGCTCTATCCACTAGGCCACCTAGCTGACCCTATATCTCATTTTATCTTCACAACAACCCTGGGAATAGGTACTATTAGTATCCTCATTTTACAGATGGGGCAACTGAAACAGACAGAAGTTAAATGACTTGGCCAGGGTCATACAGCTAGTTAGTGTCTGAGGTGGGATTTGAATGGAGGCTCCAGGAGGCATCCAAGAGGGAGCCAGCCTGACAGAGGGGTATTCCAGGGTGATAAGGCCGCTTGGATGATTGGCTGTTCCAGGGCAGGGAAGCCCCAGGTGCTAGAGGAAGTTCCAAGGGGTAGGTAGTAAGTGGCTAAGCCAGGATTCAACTCTGGTCCTCTGACTTCATATCCTGGGCTCTTAACACAGTGCTGTGTTATCTCTGGAGTCAGAAATATCTGGGTTCAAGGCCTGTCTCTGACATATTCTAGCTGGGTGGCCATCACCAAGTCTCTCACACTCTCAGTACCACAGGTAGCCTTCTCAGACTGTAAGTTATTGAGAATTGTCTGTGAATCAGTGGAAGGGGTTTCCATACTGGGAATTCCTGACCTAGATGAAATCAGCCTTCACCCATCAACGTGTGTTGTCTCATAGTATGTAATTTAACACACACACACACACACACATCCCAAATAACAAAAAAAGAATCCCCAACCTATCTCTCCTCACTAACCCCGCTGTAGCTTGGTAGGTAACCTAAAATCTTGTCAGTAAGAAAAGTGACTTAGAAAAAAAATAAATGCAATGAAATACAGGCGATGGTAATCAGAGACTGGGTTGATTTGGAGTTACGGTCAGACTGGCTTTGGCAATGCTTTATTTTACTCGATTTAATATTGAAGCCCCAGTGTCATCTTTACCACCGCTTGTCCTGCCCATCTGCGTTTCTTCTTGGCTCTATCTCCTTCTTCCTTACACCCTGCCCTCCTCCCTCTCCACCTCCCCCAACCCTCCCGTGCTGCAGTTTTTCCTCTTCTGTGTCACAAGAGCTGGAAACCTCCAAGCTGGGGCCTTCCTGCCTCATTCCTACTTGTCTCTCCTCCAGCCCAGTAAAGCCCCTTCTGTGTTGCCCTCCTCGCTAGTACAATAGAGGGTCTGTGAGTGGGTGGTGAGTGGGCTGGCTGCTGGGGCAGGGACCCCTCCCCAACTCCTGACATGGGCTTCGTGCTATTGTGGTGTTAGGTGACCAGCAGCATGGTCACTGAGACCCACAGAGCTAATTAATGGCAGGGGGGGACTCAGAGTGCAAAGCAGACAGAGTCAGCGCCCTAGCCTGTGAACATCAGGATAAGCAATGACTAAGGATGAGTGAATTTCCTTACCAGCAGAGCCCTTGACTCAGTGCCTGTAATCCCAACTCCTTTTCTGCTTCCCAATCTTTTTAAATATTGGTGAGTTTGGGTCCTAGATATGACTTACTTGAGGCCCAGAAAGTTACCAAGGGCAAAATATAACATGATATTAATTTCCATCAAGGGCATAAAGGCAAAATTACTCTGGGTAAGGTAAATAAAATGAGATCATGTGGTATGACAAAAAGAATATTAGCTCTGAAGTCAGAGGATATGGGTTCACACACC